AGGGGTGCTTTGATTGTGTGTTTCTGCATGTTGGGGATTGGACTGAATTACCACACCTGGTACACCTGCTTCTCTCAAAGCCTCCTGGCACAAAACAATAATCTAACATGAACAGCTGCCCAGAAAGAACATGGTCATCTGGGCTGCAGTGACATGGTTCCTGTAAATGTCAACAGAAATTGGGAAGTCTGTCTGTTTTGTTTTTGTTATTTTTTTTAATTAAACACTATTTCCCTTCTGCATACAGAATTGTTTGCAAATTTGGAGATATTCTTATTTATACATGGAAACACAATTCTCCACCTTTGAGACTCTGTTGAAGACAGATGGCTATCTTTTAACTCACTACACATTAAGTCTGAAGACAACCTGTATGAACCAATCTGTAGACAGCCGTAACTGTATCTCTCAATTACATCTTGGCCCTCCATCATAACAGAAAAGGACTCATAGCACACTGTGATCAGTCCAGGCAATATTTTGGTGATAGTATTTATTTATTTCCTATATTTTTACCCCGCCCTTCTCACCCCGAGTGGGGACTCAGGGCGGCCTCACAAAAGCATCATAGGATGCCGACATCATAAAAACAATCAACAATCAGCAATACATTAAAATATTAAAAACAGTAATTAAACAATTGATTAAAAACACGCCTGTTAAAATCAGAATCCAAAATCCAGAGTCCAAGGTCCAGTCTGGGTCAATTCATTGTCTTAAAACTTCTTTTACTTGCTGTTATTACTGATCGAACGCTTGGTCCCATAGCCAGGTCTTAAGTTTCCTTCTGAAAGACTGGAGAGAGGTGGCTAATCTGATGTACCTGGGGAGGGAGTTCCACAGACGGGGGGCCACTGCAGAGAAGTGGTCCACTCGTCCCCACCAGTCGCGTTTGAGATAGCGGTGGGATCGAGAGCAGGGCCTCTCCAGATTATCTTAAATTTCGTGATGGTTCATAACAGGAGTTATGTTTGGACTCCTAGTACCATTCATATCTGCTCTGGGTTTTCAAGGTTGCTTTGTGAGCATTTACTATGAATGTTCCATTGGCACTGCTTGTCCAGTGCTCCACTTCTGATGAATGGATTTTACCAGGTTTTGTTGGGGCTGTAGGGAAAATACAAAGTTTGCCATGGGCTCTTTTTAAGCTTCTTCATCAAAAAGATATGCAAGATACTAAACTTAGGCCAAAAAAGAAAGAAAAAGAAAAATGAAAAGAAAAGAAAAGAAAATTGAAATGCACAGATACAGGATGGGTGAAATCTGACCCGACAACAGTCCATGTGAAATAGATCTTGGAGTCTTCATGGACAACAAGTCAAACATGAGCAAACAATGTGATGTAGCAGCTTAAAAACCCAATGGGATTTTGGGCAGCATCAAAAAGAGTCTAGTGTCTAGATACAGGGAAGTCATGGTGC